ACACACACACACACACACACACACACACACAAAAACCCTTTCAATTCCTGAAATAGAATTGAAAAGACGGACGTGTTGTTTGATTAGAAGTGTGAAATACAACACGCTCTACATGGAGACTTAAATAAACAAAAGGATGTATTTTTCCGTCACCAGTAGTGAAAAAGAAAATAATTACACGCACAGACAAATTCGAACATGGAGTCATAATCTCTCAGTAAATCTGAGATGTTTAGGGCGTGGTTTATGACAGCATTTCTCAAAACTATTTCATCCCTCATCTCTACTGTTTTTACATCACAGTGACTGACTGCATGAATCATAAATAATGATTAACCGGAGATGTGTGTGCGATACTCAGAAAATTCTCTTTTACTTTTTAGGCTCTTGTTGGACATTTTAGTCATTTAAATCACATTTAATTCACTCTAAAGTATAAAAGGTCATGAGCATCAGTTTTTATGGCTCTTTATTGCGTCCTCTTACTCAGCTGGTGTGTGTGCATGTGCGTGTGTCTTTTCTTGCGCAAGTTGGGTGAATAAGTAATAGTACATGCAGGTTGCCACACCTCGCCTCTCCTTCTACTTCTTCTTCTTTTTCTGCCTCACATTGCAAGAGGTAGGCGTGTGTTTAGAGCCCCACCCACAAACCTTACTAGTGTGTAGAGTGTCCTCTACACACTAGGGCCACCGCTAATGCACAGTTGCACATCACACATAAGGACAGGCCCAGACGTCATAGCCCACAGGCACCATTCGCGGGAACAGAGTGAGCAACAGAAAAAGAGGAAAAAAGGGAGTGAAAAAAAAACCCACATTGGGAGGAAAGAGAAGGGCAGAGCCGAACCCAGTGAGGGAGCGAGGAGGTTAAGAGAGGAAAAGAAGAAGAAGAAGAGAAAAAAAATCATAGGTTTGTGAAACGCTGAGTGGATTGTGGCCACAGGACTGCCTACTCTGGGACCAACTGTAGTGCTGGAGGGATAGATACAAGTAAAAAGCAAAAGTTCCTGTCAAAGGGGAAGATCACCACGGATATTTTATCATTTAGGAATATTATTTTGTGCCCTGACAAACGGCGACAATGACCTCTCAGCAGCAGAGGTACAGGAATTTCTCCTCTGACAGCTTTGGCAGGGAGAGGGTGCCTTCAGATGACGGCTACTACCAAGGGATGCTGAAGGCCATGGACGGCAGGAAAGGTACCAGTATGGGGGCACTTAGTGTAAAATAGCTGAATTGCAAGTCTTGATCTGTTTGGTCCCACATGTGTGAGGAGCCTCTGGGCACAAATTAAGTGTTTTTTTTCCAGGAAGGGGTGAGAGGTGTAGTTAATTTCCCAAACTGGGCAGAGTTCCCGTTGCAGACCTTTTGTCTGCGAGAGCTTGAAAAGCTTTGTGTGAAACTTTTTTTAAACGTTGCGTGCATGCCAGATGATAATCTTTTTTTTTTGCTGCTTATTGTTTGCTTTTATTGTAGTCGCTGGCGTGCATCATGTGCTGCATATTATTTCGCATCCAGTGGCAGTTAGTCAAGCTGGGCTGTGCTGTCCACTCCTTCCATCAGCAGCTTCCTCATTTCACATTGGTCAGCAGAGCCCATTCACAACTTTTGCTGTGTGGCGTGCTGGATGTGTTTTTTTTTTTTGTTTTTTTTGTTTTTTTTGGGGGGGGGGTGAGTCACTCCAGCTACAGACTGTTTCTCCTCGGTTGCAGCCAAAATGAACGATGTGTCACTCCATGCGTCACATTTCTTTTTCCTGTTTCTCCTTCAAATTGTTCTTTATTCCTGTGAAGATGGATATTTTTGAAGGTTTCCACAAGGTCATTTCTCAGTAAAAGCCTTGCTTCACCCTGCGCATGTCCTCATATAAACCTACCAAGCCTTGAACTTCAAGGATACTGATCATTTTACATTTTACTCAAGTAAAAATATCAATTCACTCACGTACTAATACCAAATCTTACTACATTTTATATTTATTTTCAATGACATATCAAAATAAAAGCGTTTCTTACACTATTGTTTTACCGTTTACAGTTTTACTGAGCCTTTGCAGAGTATACACTAGTATACACTGACTATGTGTTAAAATGTATCTTAAAGTGCTATTACCTGCAAATATAAAAAGAAGATAAAATATTTTCTTCTGAAATGTAGTTAAAGCATCTTCAAGTACCGTTAATTATAGTTCAGAAAATGTAGTTTTTCCACAGAGTGTTTTCTATTATAGTCATATCCTCTTCTGGACCATAAACTCCACCCCTCAATCAAGCATGTTTATGTGTGGTGACAAGTGAAAATTTCACCTTCACCTTTACTTTCTAAAAGCACATGAAAAGAGTTGTAATTTCATTATAAAAGGTAAAACGGGGCACAGCCAATCACAGGTCAAGGTGCAACTTGTAACATTTCCTATTTATGTGGAATTTTGCATCTTTGACAGGAAGTATAAGCGTGGAGATAGTTTATGCAACTATCTCCAATGCTGGTACAGATGAAAAATCCGCAGGCTTAAAGGTCTGGTGGTCTCAGTATGATGTTTCCATGGCAACTCAGTTCCATAACAGAGTTGTCCAGAATTACTGGCAACTTCCTCTAAAGAGGAAAAAAAGGTAGCCTCTGGGCATCTATTTTATGTTAGCACTAAATCACTACCCTTTGCTTTTCATTGCTGGGCGTGTCAACATATATAGGTGGATGGGTCACTCCCATTAAAACTGATAAGATTTTGTGGTATGTCTAGGGGACATTCTAGCATAATCTGAAGGAATTGCTGAGTGGGTCAGTGAAGTTGGGTGGTGCACTTCCTGAACCTGTCTGAACAGTTGAGTAAACCACAACATTTAGATCACGTGGGGTAACGTGAAAGCAAACAGACTCATCTATCTACTGCGTCCATAATAAATAATTGTAGTGGCACACCTTTTTGTGTTTGTGTATGTGTGTATGTTTTCTTTTTTTTTTTTTTATTTAAACCTGAACTGAACAGGAATAAGAGGGAGTATGAAGGTTTGTTATGTTAGAGGGTGTATTCCATGCCTAGGCCTTGTTCTTTCTTGTCGGATAATTGCAGACTAATAGTTATGCTATTATGTCGCACGGTTATCACGCCCAAGTATCTTCACACTTTAATAATATTTCAGTTTTGAAGCCTCGATCCTTTCCTTTTTGTTTATGTCTTAAGAGCACAGCTGCCAGTGGTGTCATAGAGTGAGACATGACCTTACAAACCTGTGTTCTAGACAACAGAAGTGCATCTGCAGACCGTGAATAGTCTCAAATGTTCCCTGACTCAGATGCAGGCTTGAACAGGAGCACAAGAGCCGTTTTCCACCCAGAGATGAGTTGTGTTTATTCTAAAGGAGGAAAAAAAAGTCTTGTCAGTCAGTCTTGGGGATTTCCTCCTTAGCGTGCTGTTAGAAATACACTGAAGAAACACATTAATCGCACACCTGATGCTACTCATTTTGAAATTAGTTTTAGCTTTTCCTCGTCTTACGAGTCCGATGTTTAACTGTGCTCTTTCTGTGTTGCAGATGAACGAGACAGAGTCCAGAAAAAGACCTTCACAAAGTGGGTGAACAAGCACTTGATAAAGGTGAGGCCCTATTCTGTTTTTTTTCCTGTGTTGTAACTAAGGCAACATTGACGGTCAGGTTTTTGTACGCACACTCGCTCAATCCATAGCATGACTTAAGGTACAAAGAGGGAGAAACATAAGTCACAGAAGAGTGTCAACAAATTTCCCTTTTGTTCAAACACGTGTACGGGTGTTTTCTGTCGCAACAAGCATAGCTTTTGTCAGTGTCAAACTGCAGATGTTTGAATAGTGAGTGATTGCCCTGACCCTCATTTAACACCAGGAGGCTGCTGAATAAAGCTGTATAAATGTTGCAACTCATGTATTCTGGGATTATGTCCACGTATGATCATTACATACGTCACTCCATGCATTCTTCCATTCATCCATTTATACAACTGCTTTTACAATTCAGGGTTGCTGGAGCCTATTGCAGCTGTTATAAGGCTAGCACAGAGAAGAACATTCAGACTTATGCACCAAGCCAAGCCAACATGTGTGTTTTTGTACTGCGGTTGGAAGAATGAGCACCTGTAGAGAGCTCAGTCAGGCACAGGGGGAACATGTCGAATCCACACAGAGCTCCAGCAGTCTGTAAGATTTGTGCCAATTTAAAGATCACAAACTCAGGCGAACAAAGAACCACATAACAGCAAAATCTTACAGCAGCTGAACGAGTGTCAGTGTGTGTTCATTGTTAACATCTCTGCAGAAATCATTACCAACACCGCCACCGCGACCCTCACCCCCTCCCCTCTTGCATAAACATACATTAGCTAGACAGGTTTTTGTTTTGTGCTAACAGGGCACCGCGATGGGAAGGCTTACCAGAAGTCTCATCTGTCATCAGCTGAGAGATTGTGTAAGCCGTCCATCAGCACTCTTCAAATCTCACCTGTCTCACTCTCTATTCACAAACTATGGCCCGAAGGCTCACGTGAACAGGTCAGGAGGCGAGTCAAGTCAAAAAGGACTATAGTCCTCATTCCAGACCTCCATATTAAGGTTGACATATTAGCCCGTGTAACACAATACCGCTCTCCCAGAGTGCTAAAAATATTCCTGCTTGTGCCACTTTTCTTCCAGAAAACTCCAATTGGCAGCACTACATTTACAACCATTAAGTGCTCCACTCCACAGACAGAAGGCCCATTCTTTCTTTTTTTAATGGAACAAAACAGAGGAAACAAATGAGCACAAAGAAAGTGTTATCCTTTCCATAAATGTGCAGAGCTATGGTTTCTTTTACCACTGCATGAGAACCTAGTTCAGTTCCTCCCTCTTGTTTCTCTTAAGTGTCCACTGTGAATATTCGAGGGTGAGTCACAGACATCTGGACTCACTTAGCTCCCTCTGAAGAGGCAAATTCTGGTCTGGGCTCATAGCCAATGGTGGGTTAGGCCAACGGTAGCACATGTGCTGCACAGACTACTAGGTAGGGGTGGCTGTACTGGCATCAGTGCACGCCTTAAACTGAAAGGCATGCATTGATGCATGGGGAGTTTCATAAGTACTCCCATCCAGTTATTGTTACAGTTACCCGCATACTGCAACACTACATGAATTTAAGAATTTGTTTCTGCCCTTTCCAGGTACAGTTTTTTCTGCAGACTACTTTCTACCATGACTTGAAAACAAGTGTAGTTAGAGTAAAGGAGAGGTGCTCATTAGATAACACTTATTTTCTCAGGATGACAACATCAATCCGTATATATTCGAATTATATCAGTATTCTAATAGAAAAGTTTGAGTCTGTGTTTATTAGCAGCAAAAAAAGAAGCGTTATCACCACGTATAGCCCAAAGTAAAGAACCTCACTGAAGCAAAATGCACACGTTTGGGAGGGAAAGCGTTAAAGTATGTGTGCGAATGTGCTGATCTGCTCTAGTGAGGTTAAACCGCTGTTAAACTGATTTAATGGCTTAATGGTCGAGTGGGATAGGCTGGAGGTTGGGTGCAACCATGAAGAGCTGTAAAGGGCCATTGAGTGTTATGCCCTCCACCCCACCCAGCTCAATAAATCTCTTCATCTTGCGTAAGACAAGAGTGAAACATCAAACCAGCTATGGGATGAGCATCTGTTTTCTAGTAGATGCCTACAAATTGCTTGTGATGAGGTCTAGAACCTTGAACTGTTGCACATCAAGGCTACTCTGTAAGGATGGTTATCAGATGAAGGATAAAGAAAATGAGAGGAACTCCACAAGATGATGTAAAACCTGAGGCATGTTAAGCATGTTGCTTCCAGACAGTGGATCACAGACCACTGGAAGGACCGCTGTAAGGCATGTGCACTAATGACTTTGTCTTTGAAAGCAGCTCCTTTTTACTGCCGAGGCTGCAGTTTGCCTAGTAAACTTTCAGCAGCAGGACAAAGTAACCAAGGAGTGGCGATAGATGGCTGTGCTAGATTCAGCAAGATAGAGGACAAATCACAGCATTCATTACTTGACAAAGAAAGACCGGATCATCATCGTTTAATTGTGTAAACAGGTACTGATCTGATTGGAGAGAGCCCTGACAGACAGTTTCAGAGGGTGCAGACTTTAACAATATGACCCATCCTAAAAAGTAGAAGAGCTTTTATTGTGCAAACAGTGAACTCTAGTGGCAGCAGTGTTGGTTCCCTTCCCTAAATTTAGCTCCGTGGTGCACTTCGCTTAATCATCTCTCTCTGCAGCAGGGAGGAGCATATCATAAGATGGATATATGGATGGTAGGAAGGTGCGGAAATTCTTGCCAAGATGAATCAGTCACTGTTGCAACTTGCAAGGGAAAATATGCCTTCATTCCATTTTAGGGCTGAGGCCCATTTCCCACATGGAAAACACACACCCAGTAGACCAATATATCTGCAGACTACGAAAAAAGAGAGTACTTTAATTATTCTGTTTTTCATCAGTTTGTCATCATGTCCACCATCAAATCCTCCAAAGTCCAACTATCACTTAATTTCTGTTCATACGCTTTTCTCGTTCTCTTGTTTCTATCCTTTCCTTTTCCCCCATTACTCATATCATCTCTTCTCTTCTCTACCACCAGCATTCGAGGGTAGAGGTAGGTGCTGGCAGTAAATATGTAGCTGGTCAGTATCTCACTGCATGAAGGCTGTCTCCCCTCCCTCGTGTTTGTGCACCATCACATGTCTCTTTTGCTTTCCCTCACTTGTTTTGTTGTCTGGTTGCAAAAGCACAGCGCATCTGTTGCATAAACAATTAATTCAGTTAACTGAAATCCAAAAGGTTAAATCTTTTTTTTTTAACCCTTGATGATCTCTTATTTTATTTAAAGTCCTATTCATCATGTGTCAGGCTGACAGCTGCCAGCAGTCGGGCTTGGCTGCTCGTGGCTATGCATTCTTGACATGTGTCGAATTGTGCTCAAAGCACTGTAGAAAACTTACAGTACGTGACTCTGCAGGTGTTTTAAGCCGTCAGCTTTCAGCAAACTGCACCACAATTTGAGTTTGCAAATGTCACGTGGAACAGGTTATTCCAAGTTGTATCATCATGAATCCTTTTGACATATTCTCTGCTGTGTTTTCCTTTTTTTCCCCACTGTAACAGTCACAGCGTCATGTGACAGACCTGTATGAAGACCTTCGAGATGGACATAACCTGATCTCGCTGTTGGAGGTCCTCTCTGGAGAAACACTGGTGAGTACAGTCTCTTGATTTTTGTCAGTTATTCTTTCGCAGTCCTCCAGCATCCAAACCCAAACCTAATCCTGACTAACTACACAAGGATTACTTTAATGAGGTCGACCTGGAATGCCACCCCTGTGGCAACAAATTGTAAAATATTAGCAGCCAAGTTGTCAGTCAAGAGCTTAACCTGAGCTGAACTATGCTAAACAAACACCTCTTAACTTTCTTTTCAGTGTACCGTCCTCTTCTTCCTATTTCACTAGCTATATTTTAATTACTTTCTTCTACTTGTCTCTTTGTTTTGCGTAACGCTTATGTATTTCATATCCTGGGGTTCAAAATTGTACACAAAGCTTTTCTGCTGCTGCTGCCCTCCACCGGCTTCAGCTCTGCTCATTTTCACAATGCATCCATAGCTATAACACATGGCTACCACTTTGGACTGTGTGCGTGTTTGTGAACTGTGCTCCTATCTGATCGACGGTTCTTCTTTTCTGCTCCTCCTTCTCCCGTTTGCCTTCCTTTAACCTTCCTCTGTGTGTGCTGATCATTGCCGTCTGGCCTTCGCCTCCTCTCCTTTGCACTGCTCTTGCTGGGGCTAGCCGAGGGAGAGAGACATGGCCAGGAGCGTTCGGTTGGTGAGTGGGTTTGGAACTTACAGTAGGCATTATGTTTTTGTTTTAATGATTCATCGGCACTTTTCCGGTTCTTTGGCTGCGCATGGTATCCACAAACCTCAAGCCATGATGAGTTCTGTTGCTGGGACTTTTTTGTTTCTTGTGCTGACAGGCTTGCTTTCATCATGTAGCTGCTGTGAATGTATACAAGAAAATATTTAGTTAGATTTCTGTTTGTTTGAGAATTTTTCCTTGATTTCTGTTTGAGAAGCCCAGAAACAAGCCACGCATCATATATTTGCTTCCTGACAGATGGCTTAAGTTTGGCTTTGCTAATGCAAATTTCCCATAATTTTATTTTTTTGTTTCTCTGGTGAACTAAAGGACTAAGACAAAGAAAGGAGAACCGTTTCATCTCTCTATTAAATGTTTTTCATTTTGATTTTTACATCATACATTTTTTGTTTTTTATTGGTTGCTATTGGTCCTTTCTAATGGCAGTAGCACTGAGTACTGAGTGTCTGCAATGTAACTAAACACTTCTTTATCTGTTCTTTCACCTCTTCAGCCTAGAGAGAAAGGCCGCATGCGATTCCACAAACTTCAGAATGTACAGATAGCACTGGACTTCCTCAGACATCGGCAGGTATGATATGTATAACGATACATCAAACCCTTAAAAACCCGACTGCGAATGTCAATCGTTAGAAGATGACTCATAGTTTCAGCTGTAATCTTGCAAGTAATGTGAATGTTTTGCTTTCTTAGGTCAAACTGGTTAACATCAGAAACGATGACATAGCTGATGGGAACCCTAAGTTGACCCTGGGGTTAATATGGACCATCATCCTCCACTTCCAGGTCTCCTCTTCTGTCAGTGTTATGTTTCATTATATTATTGCTGTCTACCTCTGTCTCTGGGATTTGAACCTCTCGGCTGCTGCTTCCCATCTCCTTGGAGCCAATCAGAGGGGACTCTGCTCTTCAAAACCTCTCATTAAGGACTTTTTTTTTTTTTTAAATCAATTGCTCTCATTAAATCATATTCTTCATATAAGTATTATTTTAACATAAAAACTCTAGTCAGGTATTTAGAGTTTAGTAGCTAATATGAACTGTTTAAACAAATATAACACTGTCAGGGTGTGTTAGTGTGAGTCACTCTCTCCCTGATTCCCAGGGGGGAGGGCGTGTCAGGTTGGAGTGCACAGCTTGATGGCATCCTCCACGCCCTACCACATACTCTCCAGGCCTTTCTTTCTGCCTTTCCTGTGTATGCCAAAAGCTGCCAGGCAGAAATCCCTGGGTGATAGCCTAATAGTCACGGCCTCACCCTCAGCCATAGAAAAATGGTTGAGGTTTTGATTGCAGAAAGCTGAAGCTAAGCAGAGAGGGGAAAAAAAGGTGAGAGTGGCGTGGTTTGATTATGGCATTCTGGTAAAGATAGTATTGTGCCCTCTAGATACACACTGCGTTCCCAGAGTCTTTATACGTTTATACAATAGAGGCAAAATAAGAGAGCTGGGCTGTGGCTGCTGATGAGTCATAAAGGCTCCAGACTAAAAGGGAAGAGAAAAACTACTCCCCACAAATCTGATCCGATTATCCTAAATTAACTTGATCACAAAGGAAAGAAGATAGTTTGATCCAAGAAATCTTTGGAGGATGATTTTAATTGCAGATTTAATTGCCAGTCTCGAGATACAGTAATGGGGTGAGTCTTAGTAATGAAGTAATGATGGCTTTATACTTTTTATTTTTTTATTTATTTTTTTTTTTTTTACTGAATTGAATATTCAAAGTGTTATCGCATCTGTAGAAAAGAGCTATTAGAAGAGAATAATCTGAGTTTAGCTTGCCCATTTACACTTTATTTACCCTCAGTTAAATGGGAAAAAAGAGAAAAACCAAGACTGCTATGACTCATCTTTCCTACCATCAAAATCCCCAAATGAAACGTTATCCAGATGCCACAGACACAGTGGTGTTTTCCAGCAATCTGTCAGGCAAAACTCGACTACATCCTGTGAAACACAGACACTCTGTTCTCAGCCATGAAAGATATTAAAGGTGAAATGACTAAGGTGTCAATTAAGGCGGTGTTGAGTAATTCTGTTTAAACTGGACCTATTGTGACTATTTTCAGTTCCATTTTTTTAACTTGAATTCCACTAAAAGTTTCTTTTAAACCAGCTTTCTTCTGATTGGCTGCCTCTCGAAAACAGCTATATTTAAGAAAAGCATAATAGGTCCACTTTAAACTGCATCTTTTGGGTTTCCACTAATGATGGATTTCTTCCACATTCCTTGCATTAGCCACAAATCCTCTCTGTCTTCCACAAGTGTTAACGCTCTTTTGCATGAAACTGTTACAGATCTCAGATATTCAGGTCAACGGCCAGTCAGAAGACATGACGGCCAAGGAGAAGCTGCTGCTCTGGTCTCAGAGGATGACAGATGGCTACCAGGGCATCCGCTGTGACAACTTCACCACCAGCTGGAGGGATGGCAAACTCTTCAATGCTGTCATACACAAGCACTAGTGAGTGTGCACAGTTTTTTTAAAGGAAAATAATCCCAACGCCAATAGCAACAAATATGCTAATATTACATAGAACAAACTGAAAAGCCCGCTGCAGGTCCCTGTACCGACCCTGTTCCAAGCCTGCACTGCCAACATAACAAGACTTAAAATATTTAAGACTGACATAATAGCATTGTCTCCAGAATGGAGCACTTTCTCATAGCTTTTTTGCACGGTCTTGTCATGACACACAACCATCCATAAGTTTTACTCAGTATAAAGTGCACTGGAGCGACGTTGGAACGCTTTCAGATGTCAAATTACACTTTGTAGTGCCAGTTTAAGCCTGCACTGTAATTAAACTCGGCCTCAGCATTGACAGAAAGAATTTTTTTAGACATGATAAGCACAAGTGGCTGTTAAAAGCTAGTATGGCTGATTTATTTTAACTAAGAGACGATAAGTCACAGCATATAGCTCCTTCCATACAGAGCCTTAACATACTGTGCATAGCTGCAAACGTATTTACTTTGTTTGAACTCAGTGATACAGTTGGACTATTTTTGCCGCATTCTCCCTTGAAAAATGCCTCTTATAGATACTTTTCCGCACCTGACTGTGCACATGCTCATGCTGCTTCAATAAAGAGTCTTCATGCAGATTCCAAGCCTTAAGGCTTAGAATACCTCTGGTAGGTGTTGGCCCCGAGTAACTCTGTGCCTCCTTTGGCTGCGTTATAAGATGGTAATTCCTGCGTTAAATGCAGCTGGCTTGTTAAATTGTTGGGAACCTAAGTTTGAAAAGCTAAATCCAAAGCTCTTTTTGTTGAAGCATAAATATGCTACATCCCACAAATCTGTTGTGGGTCTTCTTAGTAGAATTAGTGGTTGCTTTGTGTGTTATTATCCTGGGAATTGAACATGCGTGCATTTCTCAGGATATCCGCAAATGAAGTGAAGTATTTTGTTGGTTCTAAAATGACGATATTCATATATAAGTCCAGAGTACAAATGGGACAAAAGCTACATTTCATAAGACAGAGGTGTATTTCTTTAGATCCATTATTAGAAAAGAAAAGGAAAAAGACTCTTGCAGGGGCAGGTTTTCTTGAACTTCAGCTCGTACCTGCACTGTTTTGTTTTTTTTTTTTCTTTTTGTAGGAGGCTGCTGAGGCTGGCTCATTGCTGCCTTTCATGAAGGTCAGGGGTGTGGTGTGTGGGCGTAACTGTAGCACTCTGTGTCTGCTACATGAAAAGTGTAACATTACTTGGTGCTGAGGCATAACTCAGGGTAATCTACTGTCGAACTGTCATTCATCCGGCGAATTCAAGATTTTCCAGGTTTACTGCACATGTGTGATGGTTTCCAGCGTGGATTTGCAGAGACGCAGCTGAAGTTAGGTTTCAGGGCAAAGAATTCAGGGAGCAGGGATCACAGCTGAAGGATTAAGCAGATCCTCTGAAGATGATGGACACCTGAGACAATGCCAGGATGCATTTACATGCAATGGGCAAGCCTTAAAAAAGATTTGCTCAAATTAACGCACCTGTTAACTACAGTCGATACAGCTTTTGGACCTTCTTGTTGGTGCTAAAATGCTCAGTGTAAGGAAGAAGTCTAAAAAGAAGAAGGGAAGCCTGGGCTTCATCAGGAACTTGTCAGAAAGTGGCAGCAATGTGGACAACAGGGTGGTCATGTTGTGTGAGGATATCCCATCAGAGGGATCTTCCTGGGACTCAGGACGGGGCTCTAATAGCTCAGGGGCCCGCTCAAGCAGCGAAGAATTGGGGCACGGATGGAGGTCCCGAAGCTTTCACGGAAGAGGGGGTCAGAGCATGAGCAGTCCAACAACGCCAATAAAACAATACTCTCTTCGAGAAATCCGTCATGCAGAGTCTTCTCCTGTGTACAGATACAATGGGGACCATTCCACTCTAACGATGAGAGATTTGTATGTATCTGCATATACTCTCTTTTGCTTGCACGTTTGAATTTGTAGATTTGGAAATGTCTTTAAAACTGCCGATTGAAAATTTTGTAATGGAGATTGCGTGCATGATAGATAAGGAGATAAGGCGAGGCATTCAATCATCCTGCTCTGCACTCTGGAAATTTGAACTTTTGCCTCTTGTAGGAGTCAAGCTGCGGCTGGTTGCCAGCCTAACTTGTGTCAGCTTTGATTATGTTAGCTGCTCTGTAAATTGCATTCCACCTATAGATGCTCTGACATCTGCCAGAAAGCGTCAAACACCCTGAGGACAAAAAGGCAGGTGCTCATGCAGCTCTGTCAGAAACTGAACAGGCGGGCGGGTTCTCCTACAGCATTCAGCCACAGGCAGAGGGTCTAAGACAGGGGCGCTAAACTCATTTTACACCGTGGACCACACATAGCCCACATTGGTCCAACGTGGGCCGGACCAGTGAAACTACATGATAAATGTGTAAAACTACAGAAAATATTCTGGTAGTTCATTGCTCTGACTGTGCTTTTACTATCAAATATAAAGTTTTTATTCATTCACATTAATATGTTTACTGTGGAATCCATGCCCCACTTAACATTTTCTAAAGCTGTCCAGTGGGCCAGACTGGAGTCTTTGCTAGGCCGATTCTGGCCCCCGGGCTTTATGTTTGACACCCCTGGTCTAAGAGGTTCTACTGCTAATATGCTGTATTGGGTACATGTTTATGAAACGTGCTGGCAGAGACTGCATTAATTCTGCAAATGCATTCAGGTGTGATATTTATCTTCTTATCATTTTCCTCTGAGTTGAGGCATTGGTGGTGTCAATTTATATGTGTGCCAAGCTGGAAGCGTTTCTAGTCCTTTCAAATGCAGCTGTTTTGAAGACAACATCCTACTTACCCACTGGGGACTTCTCAGTGCTTTTGAGAAGTCTGATGTTATTAGATGTTAGGATATAGAATCAAATGTTATTGGGAGTTATTCTGAACATCGGACTCGTGGGTCTTGTGGCCTTGTGGGTAATCAGTTGCATTTTTGTGTTCCGTAGTCCCAGACTCATCAACATGGGCAAAGTGTATCAACAGACCAACCTGGAGAATCTAGAACAAGCCTTCAGTGTGGCTGAGAAAGATTTGGGTGTGACCCGCCTGCTGGACCCTGAAGGTAAAAGTGTTCAAAAATGTGTTCAAACAGACACAGACAACTTTTTTTTTTTTTTTTTTTTTTTTTACGACCGATTTCAGCTGAAGTAATTCTGTTACTCACAAACTGCTGGTGACTATTTCACATCACATAAATTTACCATATCCTTTCAGATGTTGATGTCCCACACCCAGACGAGAAATCCATCATCACTTACGTGTCCTCCCTGTATGATGCCATGCCGCGCACTGATGTACACGACGGCATGAGAGCCAACGTAAGGAAAACATGGAGACAGTGAAATAAAAAAAATAAAGCTTCGCAACATGAATGCGCACTTTAATTTGATCTAAAGGAATGCTCTATCAGATTTAATCAGGACTGAAGAAGCTTGTGACTGTGCCTAAACTTAGCTTTTGTTGTCAGTTTTATTCCTATCCTGTGAATGCTTCAAAGACAAATTGAAGTCTTGTGAAAGTAAGTATCACAGCAAATGAACAACCTGTGGTGTTTACAGCTACCAAGACAGTGAGGATTTGAACATTTATTGTCACCCATTGTCTGTTTATAGAAAAACATGTAGCTTCCGCACACGCACAAACTCGTTTACTTGATTCAGTATCCAGAGTTTAAAGTTGAGCTGTGTTATAGTGAATATTGAATACATATGAGGACTTTTTCTTTTCACATTACTGTCTTCACAGGCGTGGCTATGACCCCACGTACATGAAATCTGAAAAACGCTAAAAAAAACCATGCTCCTCTCTGTCTGGCCCCACTTATTATTTCTCCCACTTTCCTCCTTGAGCAGTCCACACTTTAACAACCTCTCCTCTAGCCTCTGCTTCTTTGTCTACTCGCATAAGACCTGGATTGTTGCTACCTAATTGAGTTTAGGGTTGTGTGTGAGTGAACTAAAATGGAGATGCAGGAGAAGAGCCCTCCTGTTTCTTGTTGTTAAACTTGCAGCTATCTTTTCTGCTGTGCTGGCTGCAGGAGCTGGAGCTTCGCTGGCAGGAGTACTACGAGCTGGTGACTGTTCTGCAACAGTGGATCCGTCACCATGTCATGATCTTCGAAGAGAGGAAGTTTCCTGCCAGCTACGAGGAGATAGAGGTGAGACGATATGCTAAGGATATGCGCTTATTTTGTCTCTAGGCCAGGGATTTTGTTACAGGCATGTTTGCAGTTGAGCAATATCGAAAGACACACCGATAAGTTCTCATTATGTTCTTAAGAAACAATTAAAACATAGCACCTGTGTCAAAAATGGGAATACGTTTGCAGCCATCCATTATTGGATCAAAGGACATGCTTACATAATGTCTGGCTGTAGGCAGATAGAGACGACTATACCCACAAGCATTGTTGTACTGAAGGTGGGGCAGTGCTGGAGCTGAGAAAAGACAGCCATAAGGCAGATAATGCTTAAGTTAATCCTCGGGAGAATCACCACTCCCTGTCAGCACTCCCTTTACAAAAGCATAGCGTGACTTTAGTATTTTTCTACATTTCTTTGAAGGTCTGTATTAGTAGAATATTTGTATTAAAAGTAGCAGGCTAGGGTGTTCTTTTTGAATATACTTAATCAAATTCATTTAGACACTTTGGGGCAGAAAAATGTACGAGGCTAAATGAGTTTATTGTGGTCACAGGAATGTGTAAATACTGTTTCACCCCACTGCTGGTCACAGAACTGTCACAGGATGTGTTACTTTATTGTATTCATACTCATATAATTAAGGTTTTTACCATCTGACAATTCTGATTTTAAAAAAATACCAGGAACTTTTATAGATAATTTGAGGTCTATAAAATTATTAGAATGAATAAAGGGAAATCTAATTTAACAATAAACAATTTCTTTGTGTTTCTTTTTTTCCCCTTAAGCTTCTTTGGCGCCAGTTCTTGAAGTTCAAAGAGACAGAGCTGCCAGTGAAAGAGACTGATAAGAGTCGCTCTAAGCACATCTACCAGTCCTTTGAGGCAAGTTAACCAACAATCATTTAATTTAATAAGTTGAATTCTGTTCTGTTTTTTCAGCACTGTTATACCAACGCTTAACAACTAAATGCTTTCTACTTCCATATACAGAGTGCAGTGCATGCTGGTCAGGTCAAGGTCCCTCCAGGCTACCATCCCATTGATGTGGAGAAGGAGTGGGGTCGACTCCACGTGGCCATTCTTGAGAGAGAACGACTCCTCAGGATAGAGTTTGAGAGGTTGGGACGGATTTATAAGAAATATATGATGATTGTGATCAGTTTGCATCAGTTTTTCTTTAGCAAGGACTGCTGTGCTAACAACAAACTGCAACAGAAAAATCCCTTGAGAGCCATATTTAATAAAAAGGTGGTGATATAATTGTCAACCTTACTGGGAATAATGCACAAATATACCAAGTTATAAATAAAACACATGATACGCATTTGTTTTTCCAAAAACAATAAAGAAAAAAATTTAACTCTTCATAGTTAACTTTGGGAAAAGAGCTAAGCTAACATGAAATCCTGGTAAGGGACATATTTTCAACTGGAATCAACAGATGGTAAATGGTAAATGGCCTGCATTTGTATAGCGCTTTTCTAGTCCTTAAGGACCCCAAAGCGCTTTACACTATATTCAGTCATTCACCCATTCACACACGCATTCACACACTGGTGATGGCAAGCTACATTGTAGCCACAGCTGCCCTGGGGCGCACTGACAGAGGCGAGGCTGCTGGACACAGGCGCCACCGGGCCCTCTGACCACCACCAGTAGGCAAATGATCAAAGGCTAGTAAACTAAATCAATTTAAAACACAAAGACACCGTTTATCAAAGGCATTTCATGATAATTGACAAAAGGCAGCGAGCCTGTTGCCTGTCTTTAGCTTTATTAAATTAGCCAGTTATGTTCATTGGGGAATGGCAAAATAATATCCAGTTGCATTTTATTCATTATCTATTAATATTTGAATGGTTAAATAAATAATTACCTTTATTTTCCCCTCTCGGGTAGCCAAATTATTTAGCACATTTGTTCTTTTCTGGTAGCTAAATCATTCTAAGAGTATTTTTCTGCATTTGTGGGTTGCTCTATAATGAGATAAAAGGGTTGTGTTCCCCATAACTGGATGCACATCAAGACATAATTAGGTATGAGAAAATTGTACATTTTTGTGTACTTAGAAAAGCGTTGTGTCATGCTTGGGACAAAATGGGATGGCTTCTTGTCACAAGACAGTTCCGTCATGTTGCAGTCTCGCAGCCTTGTTTATGGAGTTCTCTGGGATGTGGAATGACTGAATGGACTGACCGGACTTCTTTGTAAGAAAGGCATTTTTGTCCCCCTATGGGCGCGTACGTGGCAGAGTAATGGGCGTGTGAGAGCCAAGAAGAGCCAACTTTTTCATAGCTTGAATTGAAATCTGTTGAGAAGAAATGCGATATGGCTTTTGTGACTGACCCTCACAAACTGGAGTATCTGCTGCAACGCAGGGTCCCGTAAGTGTTGTGAAGGTTTCGTTGTGAGCTCTGGCTTGTGTTACACGATGGGCGTTTAGCTATTAAAAATTTGGGAGGACAGTTGATCCATTTTCCTCTTGATTTAATTTGATTGCTCTGATCACATCCAGACTCGAGAGACTTCAGAGGATTTGTGGTAAAGTCCAGAAGGAGTCAGGAATGTGTGATGACCAGCTTGCCCACCTGGAGACCCTGCTGCAAACGGTGAGTTAAACTGCTATGTGTTACTGCAGTATGAGTTGACAAACTGACATGAAATCCAGAAACCGAGTGAATAGTGCACAAAGATAAAGAAAAAAATCACAGGAATGCATTTTCCAGTCACTGTCATTAGCATTTTTTGTATCCAGATGTGCGTGACCAACTAAGAACAAGGCTAAGATTAATACTTTAATTGGCTTCCTTTCCTCCAGGACATCCGTCTGCTGAACGCAGGGAAACCAGCTCAGCACGCAGCAGAGGTGGAGAGGGAGCTGGACAAGGCAGACAATGTCATTCGCCTGCTCTTCAATGACGTGCAGGTACTCAAGGATGGGCGCCACCCTCAGGCTGAACAGATGTACCGCAGGTGAGTGCTGTGTGTATGCTGAATTTAAGTGAACTTTCAAAATAGAAAGCTGAAAAAGCAAGGGCATTGTCAACTAACTGCTGTCTGTCTGTACTGTACTGTGTGTGTGTGTGTGTGTGTGTGTTTTTATTTTTCATTGATAGAGTTTACCGCCTCCATGAGCGCTTGGTGAATTTGCGCACTGACTACAATCTTCGTCTGAAGTCTGCCGTGACTACTGCCCAGGCCCCAATTACCCAGAGCGTCCAGCAGAAGGGACGGCCCGAGTTGGATGACGTAACCTTGCGTTATGTTCAAGATCTCTTGGCCTGGGTGGAGGAGAACCAGCGCCGCATCGATAACGCAGAGTGGGGATCTGATCTGCCTTCGATGGAGTCCCAGCTGGGCAGCCACAGAGGCTTGCATCAGACCGTGGAGGACTTCAAATCCAAAATCGAACGGGCTAAGGCTGATGAGGTAGTGTTTCTATCGGACCACTAAAAAGTCTACATACGGATTTTAAATATGTATAAAAGAGGTTCCCTATTTCCTAATAATGTCATTTTGTGGTTTTCATATACAATAGACCCAATTATCTCCTGTCAGCAAGGGCACATACAGAGAATACCTGGGAAAACTGGACCTTCAGTATGGCAAACTACTGGTAAATATTCATAAATAATCTGATTTCAGATTTTAATCACTCAGCACAAAAAGGTTGAAGCTATAAATAGAAGCTCTGGATTTTTAATCAGCTGTAAATATTCCTTCTTCTTTTTTTCAGAACTCTTCCAAGTTCCGCCTAAGAAATCTGGAATCACTGCATGCCTTTGTCAGCGCTGCTACTAAAGAGCTGATGTGGTTGAATGACAAAGAAGAGGAAGAGGTCAACTTTGACTGGAGTGACAGGAACACTAACATGACAGCTAAGAAAGACAATTACTCGGTGCGTTTAAGAAGTGGAACCAAATCTAAAATTTCACAGTTGCTCATTTTTATCCCCTAATCCTGCCCTGTAGATTCACTGACAGATGTTCAACAAATAAGCAGATTTTCAACTACATCTGTTCAATTCTTTAGGGTCTCATGCGAGAGCTGGAGCTGAGGGAGAAGAAGGTCAATGACATCCAGACTTTGGGAGACAGACTTGTCAGGGATGGACATCCTGGCAAGAAGACCGTTGAGGTAATTTCAGTAGTTAATCCAGCTGAGCAGAAGACATCTGCATGCAGAATATAGACCTAAATGTGTCCAAACTAATGCACTGTCATTGTCATATCTTCTTGATCTCTACCAGTCCTTCACAGCTGCCCTGCAGACTCAGTGGAGCTGGATCCTCCAGCTGTGCTGCTGTATAGAGGCTCATCTCAAAGAAAACACAGCCTACTACCAGGTATGGAACACAGATATTTAGGAATATAAATCTCCAGGATAATCATCCCTCATATTCATAGTCAGGAATATTGTCCGCCTCATGTGATCTCCTTCTTTATAGTTCTTTGCCGACGTTAAAGAGGCTCAGGACAAGATGAAGAAAATGCAAGAGAACATGAAAAAGAAATACAGCTGTGATCGCTCTACAACAGCCACACGCCTAGAGGATCTGCTGCAGGATGCTGCGGTATGTACATGTTCAAATGCATCGCACAAGATAGGGGTCTGCTTTCTTTTACTGTAATCTAGTTTAATCTTCTTTTCAACAGGAGGAGAAAGAACAGCTGAATGAATTCAAGACTGTGGTGGCCGGCCTGAACAAGAGATCCAGGTCAATCATCCAGCTGAAACCACGAAACCCCACCACTTCCATCAAAGGCAAACTGCCCATTCAGGCTGTCTGTGACTTCAAACAGCAGGAGGTTGGATTATTTCCACTGTAGAAATGCTTAATCATTCACCACTGTGATCATGATTGCCACAGATCCTGAGACTACATCTACTTTAATATATCCTGGCTTCTTTTCAGATCACTGTCCACAAAGGAGATGAGTGTGCACTCCTCAACAACTCTCAGCCCTTCAAGTGGAAGGTCTTGAACCATTCTGGACACGAGGCGATGGTGCCTTCTGTCTGCTTCATTGTACCTCCTGTCAACAAGGAGGCTTTGGACGGCGTGTCCAGGTGAGACTATAAAATTGATTCCCTAAGTGACGACGACATCTTGGCTTGATCATGTCAATTATTTAATTCGTTTTTTCTTTTGTCCCCATAATGCACAATCTTGTCCTACTGTAGTCTGGATGCAGGTCATCAGGGAATGGTGTCCATGTGGCAGATGCTCCATATAAACATGAAGAGTCTACTGTCATGGCAGTACCTGATGAGAGACTTCACACAGATACACTCCTGGAACATCACAATGGTTGGTACTAAAGTAAAAGTATCACCTAAAACTTGTAGAGCTGACAAAGAGGGGAACTTCATTGTGTTTCATTCCACGTTTGGAAATGTAAATTCCATTTCAGTGTGTACCAAGTTTGGTGTAGCTGACGATAAAAGGGGCCTTGTTTGTGCTTTGACGACATTGCGCTAAGTCCTGTCTCCTAATTCCTCCACTGCTTCTCTTCATTGTGTGCAGTTAAAGACCATGAAGCCAGAAGAGTACAGGCTGATCATGCGGAATCTGGAGCTTCACTACCAGGACTTCATGCGTGACAGCCAGGACTCGCAGCTTTTCGGCCCCGATGACCGCATGCAGGTCGAGGACGACTACACCAAGTCCACCCAGCATTTCGACAACCTGCTTCGCTCCATGGAGAAAGGTGAGATCTGATTTTAACAAACTGATTTTAATGATTCATAGTTTTACCGAGGTCAAGTGTGTAGCAACTGAACAGTATATAACTGTCAATTCACCTTTCAGGAATAATGGTTGTTAGGGTTAAAGGTGAGTGACTTAAAGCAAGCACAAACTACTGCTCACCAAACTAATATGTGTACACGCCTTCCAGCCTTTGATGGAATGTCCCAAAACACGTGTTTGTCTTTAGTCATGTGTGAGTGCATGTTGCTTTGATTTTCAATATGCATTTTTTTGTGGCAGCTCTGCACCAAGTAGAATATGTGTTCTGATTTTAGGTACTTGGGTAGTGCATATGTTGTGTATGCTATAGATATAGCTGGAGCTGCATGTATTTTACACATCATATATGAAGAACTGCATGGAAGGTGTGACACAGGTGATCGAAAACATTACACCGCAACAATGGACAGCATTATCTATTTGTGGACATGACATCTTAGGATGCGTCATATTAAAAGTGAATTGAATGTTTCATACTAACAAGAATAGTTCAATTTCAGAGTGCTTTAATTTCACAGCCATTCACGGGTAATGATCCAAACGCGTACTGTTAGAAATTCGGATTCGGGAGTTTCACTTTGTTGCTGGTAGGTAGCGTAACAACAGCAGTGACTTTTGCGACTCGACATTCTTGCAAAAGTATGGGATGAGTTTGACTATCGGATGGACGTATGCTGTGCATCCAGAGAGGGACACATTGGACACTTGTGAACACTGTTTTTTTTAATGTAAAACTTTATATTTAGCAATGTATTTTAAAATTGACAGCAAACTTCTACGTCCTTCTATGTACTGGATATTACTGTAAAAGATAAGATAGTCTTTATTAGTCCAAGAGTTGGGAAATTCAAATATAGCCTTTTCAAATCGGATGATCTTTTCTATTCCTGCGATTCTAAACTAATACAAATGTGTTCACAGGTCAACAGAATGAGACTCTGTGTAAGAACTACATCTCTGAGCTGAAGGACCTGCGTCTGCGTATAGAGGACTGCGAGGCTGGTACTGTGGCACGCATTCGCAAACCTGTGGAAAAAGAGCCTCTCAAAGAGTGTATCCAGAAGACCACAGAGCAGAAGGTACAGAGCTCAAATTTAAATGTGTTCTGTGCAGAAATGGCAATGAGGCATTAAATGAAACCAACAATAGCTGTGCTGTGGTTAAAAGACCGATAGGTTTGTTGGATAGTTGACTAAACGTGTTATTGATGAGAAGCAAAAGTAGCTAACTGAACCAGAATCCATGCAGAAGGATGGAGTGGGGGTTGAATTAATGAATCGTTGCAGTAGGTTTAAAATGTGGAAACAAAGCAGAGAATTAAAATCAATTTAAGTGCTTAACAGCTTATATGTAATTCAATGAGAGCTGGGATGCTGGCGTCAATCCAGCAACTGTACAGCCCTGCTAGTAGGTGAAGTTCAGCTTAGGGCTTGGTGCAAAAATAAAAGTTTTGAGTTATTTGAGTTTGGACACATAAAAATGGGGTTAAATTGTTAACGATGGCAGAAAACTTAGAAGGGAAACTTCTCGCATGTGCCTCTGGTTCCTGCTCTCCTTGAGCTTAGCTTAATTTAAATTTTATATGTTTCTTTTTTTCTTTCAGTTGTTCATAGTCGGCTGGCTTGGATTTGTTTGGGTTTTTCTTTGTTCTTCATGCTTGTCTTCTCTGTTGTACAGAAAGTTCAGGGAGAACTTGACAGCCTTAAGAAGGACCTTGATAAGGTGTCTGTTAAGACACAAGAAGTCTTGGCCTCCCCTCAGCCTTCTGCCTCAGCTCCTGTGCTGCGGTCAGAGCTCGACCTCACTGTACAGAAGATGGATCATGCCCACATTCTTTCCTCTGTTTATCTTGAGAAGTAAGTCCCTAAAAACTGACTGCAAAGAGAAAATGTGCTGTTTTCTAGTGCACTTAGATCTCCTTAATTAATTTATTGCTTCTTGTCTCAGGCTAAAGACTGTGGAAATGGTCATCCGCAACACGCAGGGTGCTGAGGGCGTTCTCAAGCAGTATGAGGACTGTCTGCGTGAAGTTCACACTGTGCCCAGTGATGTCAAGGAAGTAGAGACTTACAGAGCAAAGCTTAAGGTAAACAATACATAACTTATTTTCTTGCCAAGTCTCTTTTTACAGAAATCTTACTTATGTTACAAAGAACCATTCTCAATTGATTCTGTGTAAGAAATAGAAGTCACACTTTTAATAGTAGGTTTGCTCAGTTCTGATGTATTTACAGACTGTTTATTGTTCTTTTTTGTACGAAACTTGCAGAAAATGCGCACTGAAGCTGAGGGTGAACAGCCAGTGTTTGATTCCCTGGAAGAAGAGCTGAAAAAAGCCTCTGCCGTGAGCAACAAGATGGCTCGTGTGCACAGCGAGCGCGACGTTGAGCTCGACCACTTCCACCAGCAGCTGTCCAGCCTCCAGGATCGTTGGAAGGCCGTGTTCACCCAGATCGACCTTCGCCAGAGAGAGCTAGAGCAGCTCGGCCGCCAGCTCGGTTACTATCGTGAGAGCTATGATTGGCTAATCCGCTGGATTGCCGATGCTAAGCAAAGGCAGGAGAAGATTCAGGCTGTGCCTATCACCGACAGCAAAACGCTGAAGGAGCAACTTGCCCAGGAGAAAGTATGTTCAACGATCTAATGTTAGCACCATTATTTGCTTTATTTTCATGTGAAACTGCTGAGATTAACTTTTATTTGAACCCTTTTCTTTCCTTTCAACACAGAAACTGCTGGAGGAGATCGAACAGAACAAAGACAAAGTTGATGAGTGTCAAAAATACGCTAAAGCATACATTGATACTATCAAGGTGAGCCTGAAATAACACTATTCTGCATAGTTTTTGATAAATCTTGCAGTTTAGAACATTTACTGAAATAACCTGTAATGTTTTTCATGCTAATAGGACTATGAACTCCAACTGGTTGCCTACAAAGCTCAGGTGGAACCTCTTGTCTCACCCCTCAAGAAAACCAAACTGGATTCAGCTTCTGACAACATTATTCAGGAGGTGAGTTTATGAGTACTGGAAATCATTACAGAACAAAGGTAATATTTTTTTTTTAATTGAAGGTTAACTCTACCACTAACCACTGACCCTGTGAAAACAATATTCCTGAAGCTGTTGCATTTCTAAATGTCATTTTTTCTCTCCTGTATCAGTATGTAACACTGAGGACCCGGTACAGCGAACTGATGACTCTGACTAGTCAGTACATCAAGTTCATCACAGACACGCAGCGCCGCCTGGACGACGAGGAGGTGCGTGACAACTGGCCGAGGATCCCAAACAAACTAAATTCTATCTAACATTAACCTAACAAACCAATCAAACTGACATCTAACCAACACAGATGAGAAATTGCCAGTCACTGAACCACAGGCATGCAAGCACGCACGTTTCTTTGTGTGTTTTATGCACACACAAACCCATATATACATTATATTTAATGTACAGGTGACAAATAGATTCTTTACACTGGTTATGCGTGAAACATTGGCCTGCTGTAGCTGATATTTTTCCCAGTGAAATACACACGTAAGGCTAATATCTAATAGGGATTAGTTAAAATGGTATTTAAGGTTATTAAAAATACCAGAAAACAAACAGTGCATAAAGCTCATTCACCCACGTGAATGCAGTATGAAAGTAGATTTGTTAAGTTGGAGTGTTAGGTTCTCCATTTCCATCCATTCTGTGTGTTGTGTCATTTATAGATTTAGAACGAGGGGTTCTTTCTTTCACTCTTTTCAAGATTCCTTTTTCTTCCTTCACATTAATTCCCGAGGTCAAACCCAAAGTTCTGATCTAAGGTTCAACCTGGTTATCATGGTCTTCAGCTCTCTTTCTTTTTCCACAGTAACACAACTTTAAAGAGTTACATTATTTTCTAACCCTGATGTTTTGTTTCCTTCTTTGCCTCTCTTAACTGCTTGCCAGTGCTTTGCCATGATGAATGCTTAACCTGTGCATTAAAGAGGTAAATTATTCAGTGTTTTCGGGGTACCTACCGACCCTATTACTTTCATCATCCTTTGTCTCTGTCAAACTCCATCGGACATTTTTTTTTCACTCCATTCTTTATATAAACACTGCAGCCATTCATACTGTCTCAAAGTCACTAATATTCTTACTAACAGCTCATCCTGTAAATTTACAACTTTTCTTGAAATTAACACAGCCATAAGCGAGCTTCCTAATATACACTGGGTTGACTTGAGCCTCTTATCATTGACTTCGCCTTTGCTTTCTCCATTTTGTCACAAATAGTGATTTAAAGAACCCCCAGTGCATGGGATGAGATCAAAAAAAGAGTGGTGATTTCTAACATTAAACTATTTCAACAAACCTCACTTAAGTTTTCTCGCAAACTTTCAAATGCAGGAAACATGAGCATGAGAAGCTCGCCATAAATTCTATTCATGAGTGTGGGGAATACATTTATAGTGCTAATTTAAACAGTTTAATTGATCCAATTTTATGGCACAGATTGACATAGTTCAGTTACAGCTACAGTCGCATGCCATGTTTTTCTTGCTGTGTTGTGAAGTGATATTTTGTTCCCATACATTAATAGATCCACTGCCATCTGAATCATTTTACTTGCATCGTGAATTTAACATGACTTTGATGAATGTGCATCTAATTTGCAACTAGTGAATGATCTTTTACTAAGCTAATTTTAACATTAACATTGCCTGGGTAATACAGTACATTTAGATGCTTGTTGCAGTGTGTGTTTTGGCTGTGATTACAACAGTAATTACAATTTTAATTCACACTGCTTCGAGCAGGTCAAATGTGATGTATTACCTTTAACCTGTCATGCTTGATTATAATCCTTTCTTTACCATTTGCTTCCACTAATGCAGAAAGCTGCAGAGAAACTCAAAGCAGAAGAGCGGAAAAAAATGGCCGAGATGCAGGCAGAGTTAGACAAACAGAAGCAGTTAGCTGAAGCTCACGCGAAGGCTATTGCCAAAGCTGAGAAAGAGGCTCAAGAGCTGAAGCTCAAAATGCAGGAAGAAGTAAGCAAGAGAGAAATTGCTGCTGTAGATGCAGAGAAGCAAAAGACCAACATCCAGCTGGAGCTGCAGGAGCTCAAAAATCTCTCAGAGCAGCAAATCAAGGACAAAAGTCAACAGGTAGATGAAGCGCTTCACAGCCGGACTAAGATCGAAGAGGAAATCCGCATCATCAGGATCCAACTCGAGACAACACAAAAACAAAAGTATACCGCCGAATCTGAGCTCCAGCAGCTTCGCGATAGAGCGGCTGAAGCAGAAAAACTCAGAAAGCTTGCCCAAGATGAGGCCGAGAAGCTCCGTAAACAAGTAAGTGAAGAGACGCAGAAAAAGCGCCAGGCGGAGGAGGAACTCAAGCGCAAATCTGAGGCAGAGAAGGAAGCCGCTAAACAAAAGCAAAAAGCTCTGGAGGACCTTGAAAAACTCAGGATGCAGGCCGAGGAGGCTGAAAGACAAGTGAAGCAAGCAGAGATTGAAAAGGAAAAACAAATCAAGGTCGCTCATCAGGCTGCACAGCAAAGTGCTGCAGCTGAACTCCAGAGCAAGCACGTGTCATTCGCGGAAAAGACCTCAAAGTTGGAGGAATCACTCAAGCAGGAGCATGGTGCTGTCCTTCAGCTGCAACAGGAAGCAGAACGCCTCAAGAAACAACAGGAAGACGCAGAAAATTCCAGAGAAGAGGCTGAAAAAGAGCTCGAGAAATGGAGGCAGAAGGCTAATGAGGCTCTTCGTCTGAGGTTGCAGGCCGAAGAAGAAGCTCACAAAAAGACCCTCGCTCAAGAGGAAGCTGAGAAACAAAAGGAGGAGGCAGAGCGCGAGGCTAAAAAGAGAGCCAAAGCCGAGGAGTCGGCCCTGAAGCAGAAAGAAATGGCTGAAGAAGAACTCGAGAGGCAGAGGAAGATAGCTGACAGCACAGCCCAGCAGAAACTCACTGCAGAGCAGGAGCTCATTCGACTCAGGGCGGACTTTGACAACGCAGAACAACAGAGATCCCTCCTTGAAGATGAACTTTACCGCCTGAAGAATGAAGTCGCTGCAGCTCAGCAACAAAGGAAGCAGCTAGAAGATGAGCTGGCCAAAGTTAGGAGTGAAATGGATATCCTCATTCAGCTGAAGACTAAGGCAGAAAAGGAGTCCATGTCTAATACAGAGAAGAGCAAGCAACTACTTGAGGCAGAAGCTGCCAAGATGAAGGACCTTGCTGAGGAGGCAAGCAGGCTTAGAGCCATTTCAGAGGAGGCTAAGCATCAGAGGCAGATTGCTGAGGAAGAGGCAGCTCGTCAGAGGGCAGAAGCTGAGAGAATTCTCAAAGACAAGCTGGCTGCGATCAGTGAGGCCACTCGCTTAAAAACAGAGGCCGAAATTGCCCTGAAAGAGAAGGAGGCAGAAAACGAGAGACTCCGGAGGCAAGCTGAGGATGAGGCTTACCAGAGGAAAGCTCTTGAAGACCAGGCCAACCAGCACAAGCAAGAGATTGAGGAAAAGATTGTGCAACTCAAAAAATCCTCTGAGGCAGAAATGGAAAGACAGAAAGCCATAGTGGATGACACACTCAAACAGAGGCGAATTGTCGAAGAAGAAATCCGGATTCTTAAACTCAACTTTGAAAAGGCCTCATCTGGAAAACTGGATCTGGAGCTGGAACTGAACAAGCTGAAAAACATTGCAGACGAAACCCAACAAAGCAAGATCAGAGCCGAAGAGGAAGCAGAGAAACTAAGGAAGCTTGCCCTTGAGGAGGAGAAGAGGAGGAGGGAAGCAGAGGAAAAGGTGAAGAAGATTGCTGCTGCAGAGGAAGAGGCCGCCAGGCAGCGTAAGGTAGCCCTAGAAGAGCTTGAACGGCTGAGGAAGAAAGCAGAAGAAGCCAGAAAGCAGAAAGATGAGGCTGACAAAGAAGCTGAAAAACAGATTGTTGTGGCCCAACAGGCAGCCCACAAATGCAGTGCAGCAGAGCAACAGGTTCAAAGCGTCCTTGCCCAACAGATAGAAGACAGCATCACACAGAAGAAGCTCAAGGAAGAGTATGAGAAAGCCAAGAAGCTGGCCAAAGAGGCCGAAGCTGCTAAGGAGAAAGCAGAAAGAGAGGCAGCTCTCCTTCGTCAGCAAGCAGAGGAGGCAGAACGGCAGAAAGCAGCCGCTGAGAAAGAAGCCGCAAACCAAGCCAAGGCTCAGGAAGACGCCGAGCGACTGAGGAAGGAAGCTGAATTTGAAGCTGCCAAACGAGCCCAAGCTGAGGCTTCAGCGCTCATGCAGAAGCAGCAAGCTGACGCTGAAATGGCAAAGCACAAAATGCTGGCCGAGCAAACGTTAAAACAGAAGTTCCAAGTGGAGCAAGAGCTCACAAAGGTTAAGCTGAAGCTTGATGAAACTGATAAGCAAAAATCTGTCCTAGATGAAGAACTCCAGCGCCTCAAAGACGAGGTCGACGATGCCGTCAAACAAAGGGGCCAGGTGGAGGAGGAGCTGTTCAAAGTCAAGGTCCAGATGGAGGAACTGCTCAAACTGAAAAATAAAATCGAGGAGGAAAATCAGCGTCTGATTAAGAAGGACAAAGACAGCACACAAAAACTGCTTGCTGAAGAGGCTGAGAACATGAGAAAGCTTGCAGAGGACGCTGCTAGGCTTAGTGTGGAAGCGCAAGAGGCTGCACGCTTGAGACAGATTGCAGAAGATGACCTTAATGAGCAACGGGCACTTGCGGAAAAGATGCTCAAAGAGAAAATGCAGGCAATTCAAGAAGCATCTCGACTCAAGGCTGAAGCAGAAATGCTCCAGAAGCAGAAGGACTTGGCTCAGGAGCAAGCTCAGAAGCTGCTGGAGGATAAACAGTTAATGGAGCAGCGCCTGGAGGAGGAAACTGAGGAATATCAGAAGTCACTGGAAGTAGAGCGAAAAAAGCAATTGGAGATCTTGGCTGAAGCTGAAAGACTCAGACTTCAGGTTTCTCAGCTCAGTAAAGCCCAGGCCAGAGCCGAAGAAGATGCTGGTGATTTACACAAAGCTATTGCAGGCCTAGAGAACGAGAAGGCTAGACTGAAAAAGGAGGCTGAAGAACGTCAAAATAAGTCTAAAGAGGTATTGTGTCAAAAATGGCATAACAGAGCAGCTTATGTCATTGTTAACTCTATCAAAAAGCTAACTCACTTCATTCTTAAAGTTTCCTCTGTTCCTTCCTTACACTAATCATATCACCATATTTTTTTTACTGAATATGATTTAATTTTTTCACAGTGCACAGTGCTCATGCAGAAAACAACCTGAATGTCCAGCCGTATCATGCAATGTTGACATGCTTCATTTTTTCTTTCAGTTTCAAAACTCATTTATCCCTTAGCTTGTGACAAAATTTAAAAAAAAAAACATTATTATAAATACAGTTCGAAAACCAGATGAACTGTTCAGCAATTTGAGCAACAGAGGGAAATAGAGAAGATCTACACTAACTCGAGGGACAGTATAGCCTTCATTGTCGTGTTGCCACTGTCCAAAGAGTACATCTGCCATAGAGCTCTCTTAATATATGGAGCCCTGTATGTCCAGTCATAATAATAGTTTTTCAAGCCCCCCTCCCAAAAGAAAACGTCACAATAATACAATAATAATGATATTGCAATATCTATAGAAATTTCCTATAGTTACCAAGATTGGTCGCTTTGTCATTAATACCACCAAAAGCCCAATATCCTAATAATTGTATTTATCTATTTAAAAAGCTACCATAATAACTTGATAACAAACTAACTGATTGCTTAATAATCCACATTAAGTTTGTCAAACATATTTCCCATATCCTGTGTTACTTTTTTAACAGCAGTCACCAAGAACAAACCGATCTATTGTTTTGGAATTATAGTTTTGTCAGGTATATTTTATGAGTTTACATTGTTTACTCCAATTAGTAGGAGTATTTTTTGTAATATTTTTAAAGCCCCCTCACCTATGGTCATGAAATCTGGGTAATCACCAAGGGAGTAAGGTTGCGAATACAAGGGGGCGAAATGAGTTTTCTTCGTAGGGCGACTGCGCTGACGAGTATCTCTGGAATACTTTGCTTAGCCTGCTGCCACTGTGACCCAACTTAGAAGCACTGTGTCAGTTTTATGACTGGCAGTGGAATATCTAATACTGACTTTGATAAGTACAAGTAGCATCACAAAGCTTTGAGAAAAAAAAAGAGCATTGCCAGCATTTGGATAGATTCTAGAGGTCAGTTGTTATACAGAGATTTCAATGTTATATGTAATAATGCAATTCTGTGCTTCACTTGTATGAAATTATATTTATATTATAACAAATGTGTGAGCAAAAAAATAATCAGACCAAATAATTTTATTTCACAAGCGCAATTAAATTCCTCACATTTAAATTTAACAACCTGTCAAGTAGAACTCAGTCGCGTGCATAAAGAAGCCGTCTTGCATGCGAGAGCTTTGCACAAATCAGAAAGTCACATTGTACAACAAGTCAAGTCATGTGACAAAAATAATGCTGTGTGAGTCCAGGTTTACACTTATTTTTCTCCCTGGAAACAGCATGCCAATTCAAAGAGAGGCAGCTACAGGAGATTCAACAACCCTAACCCTATCAACACAATTTAAAAATTGGTATATAAGTTGAAGTCCACACTTTCAACACAAGTTGAAATGGAGACACAGTGTGGCTGTATCTTGTTGCTATTAGTTGCTTAAATTGGTCATGTGTTTTGGACATGCCGGCACATCCGTCGACCACAGAGGGTTAATTATCAACAGTTATTGTTTGCAGTGCAGTAGTGGAAACACCGACAGCTGTCACTGTATTACTTTAATGTTGAAGAAATATTTTAAACCAGAGGGTTCTAAGGAAGGTTCTGAAGCCTCTGCACTGTTGTCTGTAAAACTGTAGAAGCACGTGCAAAGCAGACACTCTTACACGCACGATGATACCTTTTGTGGGTGCAGTTACTAAGTTCTACGTCTGTGGGTTGCTGAATTTAAATGTGAGGAATTTACTTGCAATGAAATTATTTGCTCGGATAATTTTTATGCTCGCGCATTTGTTATGACATAAATATGGCTCTCTCAACCTCCAAAATGTCAAAAACAAATTCTAACAGAAGAATTCAACATTTTTTCAAAAACATGTTGAATCTCCTGTAGCTACCTCTCTTTGCTCTGAAATGGCATGCTGTTTCCAAGGGGAAAAAAGTGTAAACCTGCACATATTAGTACAGTAGCAGTATATGTGGCTATAACCAAAAGCTATAGTTTTGAACTTTGGGGTGCTAATTGTCATCCCAGCTGCTTCACACTTGGCTGCAAACTACCTTAGTGCAAGGTCAATACAGCCAACAAAACCACATCATTTACAAAAAGCAGATATGAACTCCCGAGGCCACCAAGTTCTTTTTTGAAACTTGAATCAAAATCTCAAAGGCTGTTGCTCAGGTAAATGTATTACTTTTTAATTCCCCTCAACAGGTTCACCCTCTATGGCCCCTTAGACACCCATGCAGATTTTCTATTAAAAATCTTTCCATTAAAACAATTAGTATGATATCAATAATAAGAAGAAAATATATATGATTAACATTTTTCAGTTCAGTTTTAGTGTTCTTTAAATGAGGTGAATGAGATTAAAAAAAAAAAAAAATTAGATCAGAGCTAACCCATCGTTTCTGTAAAAACAAAAGCATCTCTTAGGGACCCCAAACTTTTGAACAACAGTGGGAGTTCTAGTGGATACACATGACCAGGGGTAACAGGTTACATCAAAATGTGTATCAGACATTAGATTCAGGTTTAGCTATGCTAATATGAAGTGACAACTTAAACAAATACACAATATTGTTATTTAAGTAGTGACAACAGTTTGTACGTAATCTTATTAAAATGGTAACTAAAAATAGATAGAAGAAGACGACTGGCTAAAAAATGATAACATAATCATGAAAAAACAGGAACGCACACATGTTCACATTATAATTTCATTTAGTATTTTGCACCATTAGCATAAGCAGAGTGCATTGTATAAATTTGTTGTAATTATTAAACAGAACAAAAGAAAAATAAAAAAAACATAGTTCGGTGCCACAGCTATGAACATATTGTAACTTATCTTTTTATGTTTTTTTTTCCATCAGATGGCTGATGCACAGCAGAAAAAAATTGAGCATGAAAAGACAGTCCTCCAGCAGACATTCATGACAGAAAAGGAGATGCTATTAAAGAAAGAGAAACTCATTGAAGATGAGAAAAAGAAGCTTGAGAGCCAGTTTGAAGAGGAAGTCAAAAAGGCCAAGGCTCTCAAAGATGAACAGGAACGCCAGAAACAGCAGATGGAGCAGGAGAAAAAGACACTCCAGGCTACCATGGATGCAGCCCTTAGTAAACAGAAAGAGGCTGAGGAAGAAATGCTTAGAAAGCAAAAAGAAATGCAAGAACTCGAGAGGCAGAGACTAGAGCAGGAAAGGATTCTGGCAGAAGAGAACCAGAAATTGCGTGAGAAGCTACAGCAGCTTGAGGATGCTCAAAAAGATCAGCACACTAGAGAAACTGTCCGTCACAAAGATGTTATCCATCTAACAACGATTGAGACAACAAAGACAGTTTACAATGGTCAGAATGTTGGTGATGTGGTAGATGGTATAGACAAAAAGCCAGATCTGTTGGCTTTTGATGGCATCCGTGACAAAGTACCTGCAAGCAGACTTCATGAGCTTGGTGTCTTACCAAAGAAGGAGTTTGATAAACTGAAAAATGGTGAAACCACTGTTGAAGAGTTAGGCAAGACTGACAGTCTAAGAAGCATTCTCAAAGGAAAGAATGCCATTGGTGGTGTTTTGACACCCTCCAATCAAAAAATGTCAATCTATCAAGCATCAAAAGAGAAGAAAATTACTCCCGGCACAGCCATGATCCTTCTTGAAGCACAAGCAGCCACAGGTTACATGTTAGATCCAACTAAGAACCAGAAACTTTCTGTTAATGCAGCTGTCAAGGAAGGACTGATTGGCCCAGAACTGCACAACAAAATGCTTTTAGCTGAGAGGGCTGTTGTTGGCTACAAGGATCCATACACTGGTGGAAAGATCTCCGTCTTTGAAGCCATGAAAAAGGGGCTAATAGAACACGATCATGCAATCAGAGTCCTTGAGGCTCAGCTTGCTACTGGTGGCATCATTGATCCAATCAACAGTCACCGTGTGCCCACTGAAACAGCCTATAAACAAGGACACTATGATGCAGAAATGAATAAGATCATGGAGAACCCATCAGATGACACAAAGGGATATTTTGACCCCAGCACTCAGGAACCTTTGACATATTCTGAGTTAATGGCAAGATGCACTACTGACCCTGAGACCAGTCTGTTACTCCTGCCAATCACAGACAAAGCCGCGCAGTGCTCTAGTATATATACAGAGGAAGAGACCAAAGATGTATTTGGCAAAACAACTGTGTCTGTACCATTTGGTAGATTCAAGGGAAAGACTGTCACGATCTGGGAGATAATCAATTCAGAATACTTTACAGAAGACCAGAAGAAGGACCTTCTCCGTCAGTACAAAACAGGCAAAATCACAATTGAAAAGATCATTAAGATTGTTATCACTGTTGCTGAGGAAAAAGAGAAGAAAAATGAAATTACCTTTGATGGTCTGAGAGCACCCGTGCCTGCTACTGACCTCCTGGAATCCAAAATCATTGATAAAGATCTGTACAACAAATTGCATAATGGCAACATGACCGTCAGTGAGGTGTCTCAAATGGAGCCTGTCCACAAAGCATTGAAGGGCACGAACTGTATTGCAGGTGTAGTCATTGACTCCTCTAAGGAGACAATGTCCTTCTATCAAGCCATGAAGAAGGACATGATGAGGCCCGGGCCTGCCTTGAACTTGCTTGAAGCCCAAGCAGGTACAGGCTACTTGGTCGACCCAGTTCACAATCAGAAGTATACCGATGATGAAGCTGTCAAAGCAGGTGTCGTTGGTCCTGAGCTGCATGAAAAGCTTCTGTCTGCAGAAAGAGCTGTTACAGGCTACAGAGATCCATACACTGGAAAAGCTGTATCTCTATTCCAAGCAATGAAAAAAGATCTCATACCTAAAGAACAAGGACTCCGCTTACTCGATGCCCAAATGACAACTGGTGGCATCATAGATCCAGTAAAGAGCCATCGCATTCCTCATGATGTGGCTTGCAAGAGAAACTATTTTGATGATGAAATGAAGCAGGCTCTGAGTAATCCAAATGATGAAACTAAATGCTTCTTTGACCCCAACACAAAAGAAAATCTCACATACTCTCAGCTCTTTGACAGATGTGTCACTGACAAGAAAACTGGTCTGCGGGTCCTGCCTCTTTCTGATGAAGCAATCAATGCTAAGGAACAACCAGCATATACCGAAGCCCTGACCAAAGAGGCTATGACTCAGGCTACTGTAGAAGTTAACTCTGGACCATTTAAGGGCAGGAAAATGACCCTGTGGGAAATTATCAACTCTGAATACCTCACTGAGGAAGAGAGACTTGACCTGCTCAGACAGTTTAGGTCAGGAAAAATTACAATTGAAAAGATAATTAAGATTATCATCACAATTGTAGATGAGAAAGAAGCCAAGAAACAAGAACAGTCCAGCTTCAAGGGACTCAGAGCTCCTGTCCCAGCAGACTCCCTGTATGAATCTAAAATCATTGACAAACCAACCTTTGACCTGCTTCAACAAGGCAAAACTACACCCAAGAAAGTCAGTGAAAATCCCAATGTCAGTAAATACCTCCAGGGCTCTAGTAGCATTGCTGGACTCTACCTAAAACCAACAAAAGAGAAACTCAGCATTTATCAAGCTATGAAGAAAAAGCTTCTCCGCCATAACACTGGCCTTTCACTTCTCGAGGCTCAGGCTGCAAGTGGGTTCATTGTAGATCCTGTAAGAAACCAATGCCTGTCAGTAGATGAAGCAGTAAAGTCAGGAGTTGTTGGTCCAGAGTTACATGAAAAACTCCTCTCTGCAGAAAAAGCTGTCACTGGTTACAAAGATCCATTCACAGGCAACAAAATCTCCCTCTTTGAAGCAATGCAGAAAGATCTAATCTTAAAAGAACATGCGATGCCCCTATTGGAGGCCCAGATTGTAAGTGGAGGAATTATTGACCCTGTAAAAAGCCATCGTGTCCCCACTGATGTTGCATATCAGAAGAACATTTTGAGCAGAGATATTGCCAAGACCCTCTCTGAACCATGTGATGAAAACAAAGTTTTCTCTGACCCAGAAACTGATGAGACTATAACCTACAGACAACTTAAAGACAAATGCCAAAAAGATAAAGACACAGGCCTGTACATGCTCTCACTCTCCAAGCCGCAGTCTCCAACTGTTGTAGAGAAGACATACCTCTACACAGAGGAGCAAACACAGAGTGAGCTGTCCGGTACCCAGCTTGACATTCCTATTGAGGGGCTTGCTGATAAACCCATAAATCTCTGGGATATCATGAACTCAAATTTGCTTCCAGAGCAAGAGAGGCAGAAGCTCCTAGATGAATATCGCTCTGGTAAAATCACTAAAGAGCGGATGATCATCATCATTATTGAGATCATGGAGCAAAGAGAGATCATCAGAAATGATAATCCACTATCATATATGACTATAAGGAGAAGGATAACTATTGAGGAGCTCTACAATGCTCGCATCATTGATTTGGAAACATACAACCTTCTTAAACAGGGCAAGAGAGACATCCGTAACATAATGGAGTTGACAAGTGTAAAGCAGTATCTTTATGGAACAGGCTGTGTTGCAGGCGTCACAACAGACTCGAGCTCCAAGCTAAGCATATACCAAGCAATGAAGAGAGGTTTTATTAAACCAGAAATAGGCCTCACCCTCCTAGAAGCCCAAGCTGCTACAGGATTCATTGTTGATCCACTGAAGAACGAAACGCTCACTGTTGATGAAGCTGTCCGTAAGGGTGTTGTTGGCCCTGAGATCCATGATAAACTTCTTTCAGCTGAAAGAGCTGTCACAGGATACAAAGATCCCTACAGTGGAAAAACCATAGCACTTTTCCAGGCCATGAAAAAGGATCTCGTTCCAGAGGATTATGCTCTCAAAATGTTGGAGGCACAAACTGCCACTGGTGGTATTATTGATCCTGAATTCCAGTTCCACCTGCCAACAGATGTCGCTATGCAAAGAGGCTATATCAACAAGGAAACCAATGAGAAACTGAATGATGATGTGAAAGGATTCATTGATCCTGTCACTGATGAGAAACTGTCATATGCACAGCTACTCAAACGATGCAAGTTGGATGGTGGATTGCGCCTGCTTTCATTGGGAGACCAGCGGCTGACATTCAAGGGTCTGAGAAAACAAATCACAATTGAGGAGTTGATTCGCTCACAAATCATTGATCAGCAGACTGTCACTGACCTGAATGAAGGTCTTGTTTCAGTAGAGGAGATTAGCAATAGGCTATCAAGGTACCTGCAGGGCACAGGCTGTATTGCTGGTGTATTTTTGGAGTCCACAAAGGAACGCCTGTCAATTTACCAAGCTATGAAGAAGAACATGATTAGGCCAGGCACTGCATTTGAACTCCTTGAGTCCCAGGCAGCCACAGGATATGTTATCGATCCAATCAAAAACCTCAAACTGACTGTCAATGAAGCAGTAAAGATGGGAATAGTAGGCCCAGAATTCAAAGACAAGCTTCTCTCTGCTGAGCGTGCAGTAACAGGATATAGAGATCCTTATACAGGCAAGACAATCTCTTTGTTCCAGGCCATGAAGAAAGGGCTTATCCTAAAAGATCATGGTATCCGTCTACTCGAAGCTCAGATTGCCACTGGCGGAATAATTGACCCAGAGGAAAGTCACCGTCTGCCAGTTGAGGTGGCTTACAATCGTGGCTTCTTCGATGAGGAAATGAATGAGATACTGACAGATCCATCTGATGATACCAAAGGCTTTTTTGATCCCAACACTGAGGAAAACCTAACCTACCTCCAGCTGATGGAGAGGTGTATCACTGATCCTGACACTGGCCTGGTGCTTCTGCTACTCAAAGAGAAGAAGCGGGAAAGAAAGACCTCTTCCAAATCCTCAGTACGTAAACGCAGAGTTGTCATTGTAGATCCAGAGACTGGCAAAGAAATGACTGTGTATGAGGCCTACCGCAAGGGGCTCATTGACCACCAAACCTACCTGGAGCTTGCTGAGCAGGAGTGTGAATGGGAAGAAATCACAATGACTTCTTCTGATGGCACTGTAAAATCCGTCATTATTGACAGGAAGTCAGGAAGACAGTATGATGTTGATGATGCTATTGCACGTGGCTTTATTGACCAGAAGGCTCTTGAAACATACCGAGCTGGAAACCTGTCCATCACAGAGTTTGCTGACTTGCTTTCTGGAAACATGGGAGGCTTCCGTTCACGATCATCCTCATTTGGTTCTACCACTGGTTCCACTTACTCCTCTTCAATGAGCCCCCTACCAACAATTAAACCACCTGCAGTCATATGGAATGACCCAACAGAGGAGACTGGCCCTGTAGCAGGAATATTAGACATAGACACATTGGAAAAAGTGTCTGTCACTGAGGCAATCCACAGAAATCTGGTAGATAACATCACTGGTCAAAGACTGTTGGAGGCCCAGGCATGTACAGGTGGAATAATTGACCCCACAAGTGGAGAGAGATACTCAATTGCAGAGGCCACAGAAAAAGGTCTTGTGGACAAAGTCATGGTTGATCGTCTGAACCTGGCTCAAAAAGCATTCAATGGATTTGAAGACCCCAGAACTAAAGTGAAGATGTCTGCCTCCCAGGCGTTGAAAAAGGGCTGGCTGTATTATGAGGCTGGTCAGCGTTTCCTTGAGGTCCAATATCTAACTGGTGGACTCATTGAGCCTGATGTTGAGGGCAGGGTGTCAATAGATGAATCCATTAGGAAGGGTACAATCGATGCTCGCACTGCCCAGAAACTGAGGGATGTCAGTGCCTATTCTAAATATCTGACCTGCCCAAAAACCAAACTGAAAATCTCCTTCAAAGATGCCATGGACAAAAGCATGGTTGAGGAAGGCTCCGGCTTAAGGCTTCTGGAAGCCTCTTCACAGTCTAGCAAAGGCCTCTACAGTCCCTACAATGCTAGTGGCTCTGGATCGGCTTATGGCTCCCGGACTGGCTCAAGAACCGGATCCCGATCAGGCTCCAGGAGAGGCAGTATTGATGCTGGCTCTGGCTTCAGCATGAACTTCTCATCTTCCTCCTTTACATCTTCTTCTGGCTACAGCCGCAGATTCTAGATATTATATATTGACTAAAAACCAGCAGTACTAATGCACTTTACAGTTGCATTTCTAACAGGAAATAAATAGTTAAAGTAACAGAAAATATAATTTATTTGTTCTTCCCTGCATGTGGCCAAAACAAGAATTGTCTAGGTTATTACTTTTTCTTATAACATCAGTCTAAACATACGCTCTAGATGTAGAGACATAACCAGGCATTGCAAAATATATAAAATATTCATATCTTCTGGTACAGATGACAAAGTGAGTTTATATTTTTCAAAGCAAAGCATGCCTTTTCTGCTGTTTGAGTTTATAGTTTTTATATAACACAATTCAAAAGATGTATACTTTATACTTTCTGAAACTAATATATACTTCCTGTATATCAAACAGAAATATTTCTTGAATATTTCATGTTTCCTTAGAAATTTTGTTTATTTTTTATCTTTTTCAACAGTACTGGTAAAGAGATACCAAATGTTAACATAATTCTAATGTTTTTAACCAAAATATTTGGATGCATTTAAAATTCCTGAATGTTTGTAAAGAGTATGCACAGAGTATGTGTTAATTTTTTAATGTTACAAATTGTCTGGGTTACTGCATTATGCACCCAGTAAATTGCAGCACAGAATACATCTGCGACACTACACAAAGAGACACTATAGGAATGCAACAAGTTCCACAATTAAATCCATGTACACTGTTCTGAAATCAGTTTCAGATCTGTCATTACTTTGCTTTTACACCCATTTATATTCAGTATGTGTTTTCATCCTTTGAGTTAACTGCACCATTGTTTTACACACTGCTCATAACCATCATCACTCAAGTGCTCCCACTAAATCCCAAGATGATGTCAGACTCGATCCCGATCCCCTCCACAGACCTGCTCCTGTTATTTTGATTCTTGTAAGTTGAATTTATTATTTCTATTTGTTTTTCTTTCATTGTCCATTTTCTTCTGTTTGTTTTGATCACAACTGATAGCCAGTCCCAAACACTGCCTTTGGTGTCATTTCACTTGTCAACTTTCTCTGTTCATTCTCATTATTGTTGTTTTTCACCATCTTCCTTGTTTTTTCACAGCTGCCTCAGTCACTCAGAATCCAACATCTGGTCACATATACTCAACTGGCTGGAGAATACGATCTTCTAACCTTGGATGGATCTGTGAGTCCATGCCAGCCTCATGCTGTAACACAGGTACAGAGCATAATTGCATCATTGTTTTTCAAAGATTAAGCTTTGTTTCATCAAGATTTGTTTTGCAGTATTCATTTCATTGCTTTCTTTTTAATTTCTCGCTGCATTGTTTGGTTTATTTTGATTACATAGTTTTTTTTCTTTTGCTTCTAGATACCATTGAGTATGTCCTTTCTTCCATTGTACATCACTGTTGAAGGAAGCTGAGGCTGAGTCAACATCATCTTGGGAAGCCTTTCTAGGAACACTTCATTTATTACCATTTGTCATGTATTTATTACTTGAATGCTAATACTGATATTTATGTTATATCCTGGCATTTTTAGAGAAAAGCCACTCAGAATAAAAACATTTATGTGTACATTTCAATCGAGACAATACATCAAGACTTTTTTTTTGCTATTCCTGACTACATATCCAGTTCAACTGAAGTGCCTATGAAAGTAATTTGGAGAACTGAGATATTGATTCAGCACCACATTGCATGAATTTATGTTTTTTCAAATTAATTCCTTTCTTTTGCCTTTTTTTTTTTTTTTTTTGCTGCAAATTTCCTTTTTTGCAGATTCAAAGACAGCACAAAGAATAATTGTGCTTACAGTTATTTTCTCAAATGACCTATTTCTGTTATGCATCTTTAAAGTTTTACTGCTGTAAATCTTTTTGTTTTCATGATGGTTTTGATATTATGAATGTCTTGCATGTTTTACTAACCTTTTAAAGGATATTGGGGGGAAAAATGTTGGTGTAAAATAAAAGCAACTTCAGTAAGTGTTAAGTGTGCCAATTTAAGTTTCAGCAATATATAAAACGACAAACTAACTGGTTGGATTTTGTTATGGGGCAGATGTTGCTTCAGCGACATGACAAAAAAACCTCTTGTATGTGAACTTAACACTATGTTGTAAATAAACGTGCTCTGAAGAAGCATTCTTGTCATTTGTATATCAGTACCCATGCATTCAAAAAATTTTAAGAGTACTTTTTCACTGCTTCTGCCTCAGTTTACATTAATATAAATACTACGTTAATATTTGATTAAATAAGTATGTATTCTATATAGAACAATTGCTTTAATACGCCTGTAGATGTGATATAATACTATTACCTATGTGATATGATACTATTACCTGAAACAAGTACCTTATCACTGGTAGAAGAGAAGAAAAAAATAAATAACAGTCAACCACATGAGGGCAGTGTTAGACAGACCTACTTTCTGCAAGGAAGCAGCTCAGTCAGGTGAAAGCGCCACAGGTCCAACTCCTGCTCTGCCCTAAACCCACTGTTTATTCTGTTTATCACATAAGTGAGTTTCTGTCATTAGGCATTTCACGACTATTTACAGTCAATTTTCTATACAATTTCTATTTTTCTACCTTTTCATAAATCAGAGTAAAAAGACCCCGGAATGGGGTTTCTGAATTCAGGGTATGCATGTTTGTTTACACCCAAAGTCCTTCACAATACATGCATACAGATGTTTGCTCTGTGTGCCAACATTAGCCAGTGGGTTTGATGGAAGAGCCTGCCAACAGAAGCTCCGGGGCATTCACCACCCTGAATTCTTCACTTAGCTCCCTTGACTACTCTGAATTGAACCCTTCTCTCCCAACTCTCCCTGCGTTTGATGAGCGGGAGGTAAGCACACAGAGAGAAATAAAACACACTGTATACAGAATGCTATAAAATAATGAATTGCTCCATTAACAGTCTCAGCTAAAGCAGAGAGACTGGAACAGGGATCATTTTGTATATTTTACCCACTGGTTTCTTGCAGGATAAAGGCTGCTACTTGTTTGGATCACCAGGAGCTACATCACAGGATCAGAGCTATGGGTATGCTACTGTAAACAAATTTAAAAGCAAAAGGAATGAATGAAATACTCTAGACCACAACAGATAACAATCTAGGCACATTAAAAAAAAAAAGAATGACTGCCAGATTGACAGCGGCCACCAACAGCCTGTGAAAACAGTCATTTGTAGCAGCTTTGTGGACCAGTGCATCTCCATTTGTCACAGACACAAAGACAGGGTCTTGAATTGTGTAGTAAGCACAAAGTGTAAAGCATCTGATTGGAACATAGTTAAACAAGAAAACCAGAGTTCCAGCCCAGCAGATAGAGAGCACATGCCTTCCTAATGATGTATTTAAACCAAGAAATCCTGATACTATATATGTGTAGCTGTAATTTCATTATAATAACAGTAACACATAAGTAGCAATAAAAGCCACAAACAGCAGTGTATTGTGTCACTATCAGGATATAGCAAAATGAATACTGTTATTAGCATGAAACAGTATAACCAACCAAGACAGGCCATCAGTTCACACACACCAGTAAAAGTAGTCATAAAACTGCAAAAAAAAAGAAAGAAAAAAAAAGATCTGGCAGGTCTGTATATGAATATTTAAATATTACCAATGAATAACTGTATTTACTTATGAATATTAATGATATTAGCTGTTTGAGTGCCATGTTTGCAATCATTTAGTTCATTTAGTACAATCCTTACATGCATGAATCTAAATTACAGTGGTAATAGTATTTGACTAAAATGTGATCAATACAACTTTTTCTCCTGTTCTTCTCTGATTCAGCAGGGAAATAGAGGACATGAGCCAATGGCAGTGTGAATTCAGGGGTCAAATCAGAGCACTGAGACAGTGGCTCAAGAGCATGGAGATGAGGCTACCTCCTCTGGACCCCAGGGTCAGTTTGCTTTACTGTGTGTGTGTCTGCCTGCATGCTGTTCCCTGCATTCTAAAGTTCATCGTATGACACGGGCTAGTGAAAAAATGCACCTCTGCATATGTTTATACTGTGTTAATATCCCAGGGAGTTGAACACTGTGATGCTCATTTGATGCCACTGGTGTCTCACAGATAGTGAAGCAAGTAGGTTCACTTCTGGGAGCTCTGTGCTAAGCACCAAAAATGTGTAACTGCACAATAGCATTTAAATGTAATGTATAGTGACCGTTCGCAGGTCTGAAGGACACCTTGTATGTAACTTTGAGACATCAGTGACAAAAGAGCAGTATTTGATTTCCAGGGAAGAAGAAAAAAGAGGAGTTTGGCACTTTTATAAAGGGAAAAAAATAGTATATTTAATTAATTGATGTTGTTATTAAAATCTGTAGCATCTTTAAGCTTCCTGCCAAGCAAGTCTACATAATTAAAATCCATCTGTCATGCCTCTGCTTCCTTCTCTCTCTCCCTGACTCCCTGTTTATGCCAGCTACAGTACTTTTACAAAAATATGTTTTGGATTCCATTTTTAATCACACATGAAAACAATTCAGCAATGCTACTTTATTATCAGGTCACAAGATTAGAAAAAAAAAAGGTGGTTTTCCTCCTCACTGTCGCCAAGTGCTTGCTCATAGAGGGTCATTTGATTGTTGGGGTTTTCTCTGTTTTATTCTACGGTTTTTACTTTACAATATAAAGCACCTCGTACTATATAAATATATTTGTATTAGATTAATAAATAATAATAAAAAAATTATAATAATTAATAAATTGAAGTTGTAGCGGCCGGCAACTATGCGAGTAGGCGAAAATGAGAGATTCAGTTCTGTCCATACTTACACAAGCAATCAACTCTCCCCAGGGTCAGAGAGACACTCCCGTGCATGAACATCATTTTTATTGTTTATCACTATCAATTGTGTTGTCACTCAATGTTGTGCCCTATTCCCTAATTATTGTCTATCACTCTCATGTAATGTCACCCTGTCTTTATGTCTTCTACTTCAGCTGCTCAATTTCCTAATGGAGATTAGGCTCCATTTTAACAATAGTATACTGGATCCTGTAAACGATGTGGAGACTAAGAGAGCAAAGAAATCAAAGGGAAGCTAAACCAATGACTCATGCAAGTCACTATACTGAGACCTTTGAGTGTACTGAAAAAGAGGAGCAGGAGTGTGGAAGTTTGTCAAAATACTCAGAGGGCCACTGAGGTGGTCCTCGTCCCCTCCTGCAGAGAGACTTCTTTAGACCACAGGAGGACAGAGGGACTGGGGAATCAGACCCTATTGTGCCTGGCCTGGACAACCGGGCTAGAGAAGTGCTTGGCACTGGAGGCCCTCTGCACACATGAGCGAACACATTGAAAAGACATCAGACTCAGATGGGAGGAAGAGGCAAGGGGGCAGGAAAAAAAGAAAAGAAAGGAAAGCAGGATTTTTACGGTAAAAGCATTCAGATCTAACTAAGTGGGCATTTACTGAACACAATTAGATTTACTCATACAACCAAATTTTTTACAAATATTTATAAATGCAACTTGTCGCAACCGAACCCAGTTAGAGTTAGCCAGTTACAACCAGGATTACTAACTGGGTTACTGGTGATTGAGAAAATTGCAAGATAATAATAAAAAAAACCCAAACAAGTATTAAAAAAATGCAGGTCATAGTGGAATGCCATTTTGCTCTTCAAATGTTGGACTCTCTCTTGCTTTTTTCAATAAATGTTAATGCTATTAAAATGTAAGGGTTTCCCTTCAGTCTAAGTGCCCATAAAGTTTGTCATGTTTCCATCAACTGTTACTTTTTAGTCAAATTACTTCAGTTTTATACAACTATAAGAGACCATGTATGGCTAAACTCTGAATGTGAATCTAAATTTGCTAATTTACTATTTCTGCTCGTCTCACAGCATTTTGTGCTTTATTGGCACTTAAATAATTAATTCAGCTTTGAATAAAGGAACATTTTCATTTTGGTTACCCTATTGTCCAGTAAATGAAAGCTATCCCTGCTCATAACATTAACATATTACGACTCTGTGGGATACAAAGAAGGCACGGTAATATTTCATGTGATTATTCCTAGTGAGGGGTGACTGCACCTTTTCAATCATCGGTGAATCGGTTGCACACAAGGATTAAGAGGTGTTTGATGTTTTGATTGATTTCGTCTGGGCATGGGTTTCACAGTCCTGACTGAATTTTCAAGGCATTGATTAACTGAAAAGGAACCTGTACGTATATCTTTTGTTTTTTATACTCTTTTTTTAAAAACAGAAGCTCTTTTTAGTTATTCATTCTTTAGACATTTTACATTTTCTGTCTGAAAGCGGCTACTGTTTCCTTGGGGACCAACGTCAAAGATACGGCACCACATCTTATCGCATAGCTGGAAGTTTTTGGCGAGCTTTAGCCTTTTTTATTTTTCATACTTCCAATGGCTGAGACATAGCTTGCATTATTTATATTAATGTAGAGCATGAATTTTATACATATCTGGATTTAAAATGATTAAAAATAAAAAAAAAAATACAATTGAAATACAAAAACACAAACATTACTTTAATATTAATAATTGCTGTTAATAACCGTGAAATGATAAGAAACACACACACGTGTGTGTGT